AATGAAGTTGAAATGATCCATTTATCGATCTGGTTCGTAAAAAGAGATGTAGCTAATATCTTCGGTGTCTTTTTATTAAAGTAAACAAAAACCAAATATACAGTATAACTGCAACGTCCTGATTGAGTTCTATATTATTAACCATTCTGGTCAAAGAAGGATCTCAGCTACGTGTACAATCACTACGGCGATCGAAGCGAGCACTTTCGGGTGCAGTGTGTTAATCGCCTAAATAAGTTGATAATGATGATGCACCACAGGTAAACACAATCAATTATACAGTTCTGAGAAGGCCCAAAAGGCTTTAAACACTTATGAAACACGTACATACGGCGAATTGTAGAGGCGATACAAACGCGCGATTGCATCGCGACACTATTTACAGGCGTTTGTATCGATGCAATCGCGCGTTTACATCGATAGTCGCGCGTTTGCATCACGATCGTGTCACTGCACTGCGACTGCATCGCGACAGAATCGCTATTAAACCGCTCCAACATGTCGTTATTTCTTTGGAGTGAGTGACAGCGAAACAAGTAGGTACAAAGCAACACGTCCTAACATATCGCAATTTATGAAAGATAATTAGTCCAGTTACTGTACCATGCAGTTAGTACGACTTATTAGTTCTTCTCTACTTAATAGACTAATCACACTACTTTGTATAAAGTAGAGAAAGAAATCTACACGGATTTGTTACTAACACTAGTCCAGGACGTGACTTTTTCAAGTGACAATTATTTCGCAAAGTATTTGTATGTACTACGTCTTCGTCGACGTCGTACATCGCGGTAGAGATTAAAAATACCTACTAAAAGATGGCGACATTTGGCGACACAAAATATTTGTAAATTGCACATAGTCAATGTCGACGTGGATCGAGACACAGGAGAGGAAGCCTGTGTCAGAAGACGGGTGGTATAAATATGTTGCAATTTTGCTGAAAGGATTTGTAGGTACCAGTAAATCTCATAGATATCTCTGTTAAATCCTATTTGGTTTGAGGATAAATATTTTTTCCGATTACCTAATCCTATACCACGGTTCAGTTTTACGTCTTTGATGTGACAAAGGTACCTAAAATTTAACCCATTCATAAGTATATATAACTGCCTCTGTGGCCGAACGGATACCTTGCCGGACTGCCACTCAGCAATCCCGGGTTCGATTATCGGGCCGGGAGAAATATTTGTATGACGTACATTTATTTCTCTCGTGAGTTTGGGTATAATTTGTGGTTGTCTATGTGTGTGTCCATGCCACGCGCGATACGGGGTTTCCTTAATGCGAGGCTATGAGTGTGTGCGCGTTAATGTTATTTTTATTTTTATTTAGTACGTTAAAGAAAGTAAAATAGCACAATACAATGGAGAACTCACATCACACAAAGACATGCGTGAAATAAAAAAGACAATGGCGATTTTTCCTTAAAGAACGTAGGTTTTGCAAGGTTGCTAGCGCGTGGTAGCAAAAAAATGATCAATGACAATGTCACCATTTTATAGTGCATGAATGAAACGTCATCATTCTAAGACTCATTAAAGATTAGTGAACAGATACAAAATTAACCCAGTCGAAATTAGTCCTTCGACATACGAGTAATATCAGCCCGCCAGGTCATCAAGCGAATGATAATTCTTAACCTCGTCGTTAAACACTTGTCGTATTTTAACCGATTTTTTATGTATGTATGTTACGCGATAACTCGTTACGGTAAAAATACGGCATTTCTGAACCGATTTTGATGATTCTTTTTTTGTTGGAAAGAGGGTACCTCCGTAGTGGGTCCATTTAATTTTGAAGAAAATCATCCACCTCTAAGGGTGGCTGTTCACGCATGAAGATTCATTCTTATGTATAGCGCCTAAATTTTATTATGAGGAGCAATTATTTTAATGGTTGATTTTGCTATTTTCCAATTCAAGACGTTTTTCTCTCAATTTACTTTGCGTAGTGAGAACAGATTTTTATTATCTCCTGTGTCAAGTGTCGTATAGTGGCGAACTAGAGGATGAATCCGGGTTTGCGCACTTTCCGGTAACCGATTTCAATAAAACTTGGCAACTAGAAGTAATTCCACGTACTTTTGATGCCGGTTTTTTCAGTACTCTGTACTGAGATTATTTAAATACTTATTTTATTCAAATATGTACTCAACGTTTATAAGATGAAACTCTGTCGTTACGCCTTCTTTGGAAACGAGCTTACTTTTCCTGAATCCTGAGAGTTTTAACTCGTATTTATTTCAATAAAAATGTCTAAAACAGTTCAATTCTACTTTATAGGCCATTTTCTTCTCACCTTCTGAATGATTATTTCACGAATGATTTCCCGACCTTTGCGTATCCTATCGCACTGCGAATTCTATAGTAATTACTATTTCATGATCTTCCTTTTTGTTTTTTTTAAGTTTTCACCCATTTATTTGGGTAGGCAAACCGGCTGACCCAGAACAAGACCTAGTAAATATGCCTTAGATTAAATTTAAAGGAGAGCCCAAAAACACAAATCAAGGTTGCCGTTGAACAATTTTCCTTTTAGTACTCAATCAACGAATAATTAATATTGATGTCATAAAAATTATTTCAATATAATAATATATATTACCCCTTACTAACTTTGAATATTTATGTAAATAAGTAAAGTTATTGTAGCCGCAGACACAATCAAAACACTGTACGAGTTTTTGTTAGGTATTCGGTTTAGTTATTGCATTAGAAAATTTGGAATACAATTTGATTTTTTTTGACTAATTAAATAAATAAAATGACTAAGGGTTTAAGTATCAATACAGTTTATTAACCACTAATATTAATGACAATGAACCTATATACAGGGTAGAAAAAAGCAATGGGGCATGAAGGGGAGGTATGTACCTCAAATGTTTGAAATAGTTCATTTTACTTAAAAGAAACTATCTTTTAATTTTCTTAATATGAATAACTGCATTTATGGATTACCTGAGCCGGGAATCTAACCAACTAAGAACTCAAAAAATAAACTTACTACTACTTTTTGTATTAATAGACAGGATCAATGATAAAGACAAAACGTCTCCAATAAACATTGGGTCTTACAATTCAAAATTACCACGAAATATAATTTTAATATAATAACGACTCTAACGTAAAGTATTCGGAATAGTTACCTAAATATACATTTATAAATTTTCTTACATTTTAATAATTTAAGTTTTAAGTGCTCGAAGTGGGACCTATTTTCTTCCACACACAGATTTTACTTTTACGTTCACGACACAGTCACGACAGATAGTCGTGATATGGAAACAGGCCAGACGCGACAGTCGTCCAACGATAAATAAAACGCGCCCTTAATTAATTTTTCGATTTATGGTGTATCTTGTTAGTAATTTATCTCAAGTGCATATAATTATGTGTGGGTAAAAAATTACTTAATTCAAAATATAATCATACACACATTAGCTTTTCGTGACTTAACAACCAAGAAACCGTGATTTTTATACCGATATTAGGGAACGTCTATCAATATCGATATTGGTTTGAAACCAAATGCATCAATAGTAAAAGGCTTAACTTGCACTGGCGCATAGTCGAAGCGTCGCGAAGCGTCATGTTTTTCGCCTATAGCATATTTGTATCATAATAATGGGAAAATGGAGATCCATTTTCCCATTATTACGATACAAATATGTTTATGCAAATACGGCGACGACGCGCGCCTTAGCCGCCTTCGCCTTCTTGTAGTTGAAAAACAGGATGCGATGCTTTGACTCTGTGCCAGTGTGAATTGAGCCAAAAGCTCACATACGATTTTAACGTACCTCCGAGACGCAAGTCTCGCAGACCCAGTCTTGTTCTTGCTCAAATCTTGCAGGGTCGGTCTTGGTCTTGCTGTAATTAGGTAGTCTTGAACTTGTTAGGTAGTTTTGGTCTTGTATAAATACAAGAACGAGACCAATACTGCAAGACCAACACCGATTATGGGCAACGCTAACCAAAATAATAATGTATATACTCCAAAGACTTCTATGTCATACTCGGAACTTAGCTCGCAAAAAATAAAACATGATCTCCTAGTTTTTTATTACACTTCCAACTTGCATCGCCTAGAATGGAAGAAACTACTGGCTCATTAAGAGAGACGTCCGACTATTAGTGTGACGTATTAAAAAACAGGTAATAATTTGATAGGTACAGAAATTTATTTAGACAGCATGGAATAATCATGTTCTTTTAAAATAAGGAACTACATGGTTTGACAGATGTAACTAATTGGGCTTGAGTGGGTGATGTTCAATATTTGTTCATAGAACTGGTCAAACTAGTTTAGATCCACAATTTATTTACTTTAACATCGCCGCGGTGCGCTCGTATTCTCACGAGGAAGGTCATAGGGACATAATAATCAATAAATAATTAGGATTGTTATTTTAAAGACGACTTTGCGAATTATCGAAAGCAGGGCCTTTTTGAAGCGACTGAATTAGACCTCATAGTCACTTTCCATCAGGTGTGAGATGTGAGGTCAAATGCGCATCCAATCTTAATAAAAAAGCCTCAAAATACCATCTAGGGTATTTCTCAACGAACTTATATTAAAGATGAATTATCTTCGACACATAACTACCTATGTAGGCCAAAAAATCAATTGGAAAGACATGAAATATATTATATCTCTACATAGCATTTTTTATTGAACTGAATATAAGTTCTAGCATTACTTTACATTTAGCAATCATCTTTTTTCATTTAGCAATAATAATTCTTTACATTACCTGTTTGGGATGGTAGAAACAGTCAAAAACTACAACGAATTAAGAATTATTAGGTAAAAATGCAAGTTTTCATTTATGTTTGGACCTCTTGCTATTGTAGTATAGTTACACTTTATATTTATTACAAAACAATATGCTATATGTATTTATTTAATGCCAAATTTCAAAAACGCAAATGAGGTATGTTGTGTTAAATTTGAAAGAATGTAAAGAACCTTTGAAGTTGGGTTGTAATGTTTCTCACCTGTTTTAGTAGATGATGGTGCACTGTAGTAACAATAAGCACCAAGCGCAAGCACTAGGAACAAAATTGCCAAGATACGGGTGGAAAATAGTCGACATCGGGGCATCCGAGCCCTCATTGTGGTTCCTGTGAAAAAGACATCAACAGGTAAAGAACTAAGTGTGACCAGAGTAATACAAGAATATTTAGGTTGCAACTGTGAAAATTAAAAAAGAAAAGGAAAGTAGGCGATTAATTGTAGTTAACCATTCTGAGATTTATGTTTTGCATCCATATACATTCTTTTTTAAAAAATCAACTTTTTCAAATTACTTCCATGTTAGAGTATTCCAATTATTTAAATGGCATGGTGCATAAAGTACAAGGAATTTGTAGGTGTAGAGGTGATGGCTGTTATTATATGGCATACTATGTTAAAATTATAATTAAAGACGGAAACACAAAATTTTATATCATTAACACATTTTTGTAGAAAACACACTTTCCTAATTATTTCTATATTCTAGTATATTAATACTTTTGATACTATTGTGAAGACATGAGTGTTTTATATCACAAAATTTGGCAAAAATAAAAACTACACAAGATGCCAATATGAGGAAAACAATGTATTTACTTTGTAAGCTGCCCTAACAAAGAGCATTAAAAAAACTTAATCAAACCTTACACAACACACATAATGAAGTAATAGAAACATAGTGCGAGAGTGCAAATTACAATAATAGTTCAATAACCTAAACTAAACCTAAAGATTTTAGAAATAACTCATACTTTGCCTTAGGCAAGTAAACAGGTCTGCCTCTAAGTTTGTTGAAGGCTTGTACTCTAAACAGACTACTTCACCATCAACACATTCTTGAATGAAATGATCTATGTGCTTAGTTCTTCGAAAACCTTCATTTTCTACCATTTTGAGAGTTACGGTTGTCATTAAAAATCGTTATAGGTTCTGGTGGTGACAGGCCCCTGTATTTGAGTTCGAATAAAAAAAATTGAAAGGAAACGGGAACAAGGGACTTTAAAGCTGACACAGTCGGAATATGTGGCCTGTTAAAATCTTAGACTATTTTTCCATCCTCTAAGACTAAAACGTATTTACTTTAAATGTCGCCAGGACAAAAAAAAACATTAAAAAACTTAAATCAAAACTCGAAACAATCACAACCTACGTAGGTGTGTCAGCAAAAAGGTTTTCCAACTATTATGTCTAAATGCTACGAAAGAAATGAATCTCTACAAATTAATAAGAGGCTCTTTAAAAATAGACGGGAGTAAACACTGTGGTGTATATTATTTACGTCCGTATGTAAAACTTTTCATACTAAACAACATAATAGTAGTAATTACATACCTAAATTAAGTAGACTAAATTATATAAACTAAACACATCAGTAGAAGTAAACAAATAAGCTCCGACGCTTAATAAATTACATAAACGTCGAATATTACTTACTTTTATGCAATAATAATATCAGAATACCGCACAGACAAGTTCATATTTCATAGTTATTTAATTATTTTATACGCGGTTTTGTAATATGGTTTAAAGTCAAAAGATGCAAAAAACACTCGCTTCCCTGTGTTGTATCATGCAATTTGTTAACAACCGGCTAGACGAACAACCCCACTACTTGCCCGTCTCTCTCACTTCACTGCTGCATTAGTCAACAGCGTTGCCAATGCCACTTGTTCAAATCCCCAAAAATCATGGTTAAAATCCCTAAATATGGAGAGAGCAAAGTTCATATTCGCCACATCTCGAGTTCTCATTATTATAAATATATCTCGTAAATATATTACAAAGAATTAAGAAACTAATACAAACAAACAAAATAGAACATCTATTACATTGGCCGAAAATGTAAACAGAATTTAAAATGTATATTAAGCAAATTTTAGAATTAGATGACCTTAGATGGTTCATTTATTTTAATGAGATTCAACAATAATCAGTCTTTGAAAAAACTTCAAATATATAATAAATCATTTTTCTTAGCCTTGCATAAGTAATATAATTATTTGTTGCGCATTTGGTGACACTATGTTAAGGTTAGAAATAATCAATGAGTAAATTAAGTTTAGACATATAATTAACATTTAAAGTTGACGAGTGGCAAGTTGTGGTGTGAAAGTACTATCTGCTCGGCTTTGTTTAGCAAAAGCTGATTTCGTTTTTCTTCTTACCGGAGACCAACCTAAACAGTAAAAACACAGTACTGCTCCTTTTGCAATTCCGAACCAAGTGCTCTGATAAAACTTTTTCATTCTCAATAATCAATATCAATATCGTTCATCCTAGTGTATTTATCAGTAACCATGCAACTTGTAACCAAGCGCTGCATCAGCAATCAATAGATTAAAGAAAATGATAAAATAAAACATAGCTCCAATCTCCACAATATTTCCAATCGACTTGAAATTCGTTGAAATTCCCCGCAATCTAGGGATTTCCCCACAATTTGGCAACATTGCAAGTCAGCCTTGCTTTTTTTTTTTGTTCTGTTCGTCCAAAAAGGACAGGCTAAGGTCAGAGACCATGCTGCCTCGTCTTCAGTGGTATATTATCGTCTTCAGTGGAATTCAATAAGTAAACGTCTTTAGTAATTTTTTTCTGCCGATCATCAGTATAATCCATTAATTACACTTCTGAAAATCTTCCTTCGTCAATATTCGTCATAGGTAAAATCCAGTAATTCAAGGCTTTTAATAATATTTTTTTTTATTAAGGCTTTGGCAAAGCCAAAGCCTAAATATGAGGTTTCATTATGTTTCTGTAAATATGGCCGCCACAAAGAGGATAGGCAATTTGAGGCGGCGGCGTGCTTGGATTGACTCGGGAATCCTTAAAACGGGCCGATATGGGTATTCTAGTTCGAGATTCGTATAATTTCACGTTTTAATCTTCGATTAAGGCACAATAGCACTATCCTATTCCACTTTAAACTAGATATCACAAAATAATTGAAAATCAAAATAAAAACGAAACTTTTCCCTCCAAAAGGTCCAGAGCGAATCTCAGCCTTGCTTCACATTTAGGGTTACCTTATTATGATTTAAAATTACTGCTAAATTATATCACTGTTGCCAAATTAGGCGATTTTTTTACTTTGAGAGGTCGCTCGGCGACTAAAAAAGTGATCGGCGGCTCGGCGATATTTATAGGTTATGTTTGAAATAGGAAACGGGCGATTTTAGGCTACTTAATAAAATGTCTGGGGAATTACAAATTTGATTAGGGATTAGTGGGGAAAGGATTTGTAAAATAACTCATTTGGGGGTTTGAGTATTTCTATGTGTGGGGAATTGCGGAAATAAGAGAGTTCATATACCCCAAATTTTATGGTTCGGGCGAATATCGGCTACTTAACATACATAAATTGGCGAATTAACTTCGCAAAAATCTGACAGCACTGTCTGCGACTATGATTTCTAAGGAATAGAGTAAACAATACAAGAATATTTCTTTAAAATTATTATTAATCACAGCGCTATACTATAAATATAAGCGCTATATTACTAAAATAACCCCTCTTAGTTTATTAAAAAAGTGACCTATAAATGAAAGCGTTAAATTTTTCTATTAAATAGCTGGCGCATACTTTAGAAAACAAAATCGATTAATGTACACCTTTAGTACTTAGGTCGAAATAAATTTTATTTCAGCCTGCGTACCTAGTGTACTTGTGGGTATTATACACAGACATATATCTAGACACCGCAAATATAGCAATTTGTATGAAAACCAAGCGTGCCACATTTTCTGTACCCACTATGACGTCACACGAGCTCTTTAGTGATGAAACCTCCTTCCGCTTGCTTTAAATCGATTGATTGAACGGAATACGCGTAAACACGCGTATTCTATTCAATTAATCGATTCTAAATATAATCATTTCGTTCAAGTATTTGTTGATTACAAGTAGTCGTAATAATAATATAGTAGAAAAATTCTAAAATAAGATAGTTAAGTCCTGTATTTTACTTGTTTTTAAAAATGTTGATTACTTCTGGTTCTGGTCAGGGTATTCTGGGTATTGTCCTCAGAATTATCGTTACTCTGGTACTCATAGTACAGGGAATTCCCTACTTTGAAATCAGAATCTTGGAGTGATCGTCTGGCATGTTTTCCTTAAACTTCTCTTTTTGGCATAGCTTCCAAGAAAAAAGAGTCTAACAGAGAGACGGTCGAGATACAACAACGCTATAAGTATCTTATTTTCACTACATCGCGAAGCATGCCTTACATTTTGAACAATTGTGAAATCTTGTACTGTAATAGTCTCTGTATACTACCTACGTAAGGTGGTGTGCCGACACTTCGGGTTTTGCTCTCCGCTACACTTCGGCCTAAGGCCGTAAAAAGCAAAAAGTAAATTTTGACTGCAAATTATTTTTAAACACCCATAGAGATCCCCACATGCCGATTTTCAGCTGAATTAGAGCAAATTTCCATCTGCCGACATAAAGTTTGTATGGCAGCTATATTAAAAAATGGCGAAAAATAAATTTTGACCGCAAATTATGATTAAACACCCGTATACTCCCCCACATGCCGATTTTCAATCGAATTAGAGCAAATTTTCATCTGCCGCCAAAAAACACTTTTATGGCAGCCATATTGAAAAATAGCGAAAAACCAATTTTAATTACAAATTATTATCAAGCACTCCTAGAGACCCCCATATGCCAATTTTCAAAGGGATCTGAGCAATTTTTTTTTCTGCCGCCAACGAACGCGTCTATGACGGCCTTATTTGAAAATAGCGAAAAACAAATTTTGAGCACAAATTATTATACGGCATTTCTAGTGGCCTTCATATGCCAATTTTCAGTCGAATCAGAGCAATTCTCTTTCGGCAGCTATTTTTAACAAAAAAACACTTATATGGCACCCATATTAAAAACTGGCGAAAAAAAATTTGACTCCAAATTATGATTAAGGACTCCTAAAGACCCTCGCATGCCAATTTTCAGCCGGATCGAAGCAAGTTTTTCTTCGGCTGCCATTTTGAAATCGCCATCTTGAATTTATTTTAACCCAGGCAGTTGACCAGTGTTACCCTCTATGACATTCTTTAGAGCACCTCTCACCTATCTCTAATAGTTTCCGTGATAGGAGGCTTTGGAATTTGTAAGGCGGCCGTCTTGTTTATTTGAATTTCGAACATTTTTTACTTCCCGCGGAAATTGACCAGGGTGTATCTCATAAGAATGCACAAAAATTCCCCCCATGTAGTATAGTTTTTGCAGGCCGTTGATCACTCGTTTACATTTTCCACATTCAGGTCTTATTATATTTGATTCTTTGCCTCGGAGCCTATCTGCGTACAACGGTATAAAAATCTTTTTTCTACCATATCGGGAAGTATGCGTTCTATTTTTCTAAGTGAGTCAGGATTTGTAGCTTTATACATGTAATGGTGATATGAATGGTGGTTGTTAAGAGTGGAGTTTTTTAGGGATTTGGAATTTTGGTTGAACAATTCGGTTAAGATATGTGTGTTGGGTGCTCTTCTATAAAAGAAATAAATCTTTTCGTACAATAAGTATTTTATTATTACTTTAAAAAAGAACGCCATTTTATCCACGTGACAACAAAATGAACAACGTAATTTTCAAAGCCTAAAGGCAGAGATAATTTTATATTCAACACTCCACCTCGCTTTGATATTACGTAACATTATAAAAGTAACAATCAATACAGATTAGCTTTTAACAAGTTACGAAAATTTGTAAATTTATCAATGTCAATAGATAAAGATTTTGTTAACATGTCTGCTAAATTGTGATTGCTATTAACATAAGTAACAGTTATTACATTATTTTTAATGAAATCTTTAATAAAATGATATCGAATATCAATATGTTTCGATCTTTTACTATTTTCAAAACTTTTAGTAATACAAATGGCTCCAATATTGTCCATCTTAATATTAGGAATCACATTACATCCAAAATCCATAGAATACCTTTTATATTTTGTAACTGAGTAGCAGTAGTGGCGGTCGCAATATACTCCGCCTCGGCTGTCGACAACTTTGCACTCATTATCTGCCCATAACCATTGTTGGGTGCTCTTCTATAAAACAAATAAATCTTTTCGTACAATAAGTATTTTATTATTACTTTAAACAAATAACGTCATTTTATCCACGTGACGGACAGGCGTGCCACTTACCACCAAGTACGCGACATGTTCGTCCCGTCAATCTCCTAAAAAAAAGGATCAAATTTAGATATAAACGCCAGAAACAATTTAATTATAAAACAATGGAAACACAAAGTTTTATGTTACGAAGGTTTGACGTCCTGCGTATAAATTAGGTATAATTATTGACCACGTACTCACCTTAAAACGATTCCAAAAGAATCGGATCTCGCGCGAAAATATGAACGAGGAAATATTATAAATGAAAATCGGCACCGCACCAAAAATGGACCAAGTAGTAACCGAATTACTTAAGGTGAACCCGCCGGATCTAATCAGATAGATAGGTATATCATCTCATCACATAATTATGAATTTGGCTTGGAAAATAATCATAACTTAAATCAGTACAGAGTACTAAAAAAACCGACCTCAAAAGTACATGGAATTACGTCTACCACACGCAAAATAGGCGCTTTGTCGTCGAGTTGCGGATACCAGCCCGTTGCACCAAGTACCAAGTACGTCTATTTGCCAAGTTTTATTGGAATATCACCTAGTTCGCCACTATACAGGATTTGACACTGGAGATAATGAAAATCGGTTCTCACTACTCAAAGTATAACGAGAAAAAAAAAAAAAAAAAAAAACGAGAGAAAAACGCCTTGAATTGGAGAAACAGCAAAATCAACCATTAAAGTAATTGCTCTTAAATTAAAGTTAGGCGCTATTTATAAAAATGAATCTTCGTGTGTGAGCAGCCCCCTTCGAGATGGATGATTTTCTTCAAAATGAAATGGGACCACTGTGGAAGTACCCCCTTTCCAACAAAAAAAGAATCATGAAAATCGGTTCACAATTACCGGAGTTATCGCGTAACATAGGTACATACAAAAAAAAACATACAGTTGAATTGAGAACCTCCTCCTTTTTTGCAAGTCGGTTAAAAACAGTGCCACCAAGATGGATCCGAACAGTATAAACGTCGCTATTTCCGAAATTCGCACCCTAAAGACCCTTTGTTAAAGAAGAATAATCTACTCTTCTGCAACACGGGTTACAGAATCTAAGCGACCTTTCTACTGCAATAATTACTTAGATGTACGACTGTAACAGAACTATGGAACTAACAACCAGCATTCCGGAAAAATAAATAAACGGACAACCACATGTTTGCGATCAGGAGAATACTTGATGAGTTTTGGAATCAAGGCAAACGTACCTATATGTATATATCTTACATGGAACATTGAGAAAGCTTTTGGCTTTGTAAACCTAAACGCACTCCAGCACAAATTGCGATATGCTCGCAACGTTTGTAATACGCATACAAGTAAGGCCTTTCAAAAAATAATCTAACGAATTACTTAGCTGCAACGATTTGGTCACTAGAATTTTATTTTCAAAAAATACCAAATACGGGACATAAACTTTGGTCGAGGTTTTCTCCAAAGCTATTGTGTGAAACTCATGGGAGGTTTACTCATGCATTCGGAATAAAACGTTTTGTCTGATTCGTTTGTTAACGGAGATATGTCCAATTTTAGGGGTAAAAAAACACTGAGCGTCGCCTGCACCACGAATAAATTACAGACAATTTTTCTTCCCTCTGACTAGACAGATACGATACCTACTTTTTTTTACTGCGCTAAAAATAATCACACACCGCTGTATTTTTCTAGTGAACGTTTGCATTTCAACTCGTTTTGAAGTTACGACTCTGAGGGTCGTATTCCAGAACTCTACTCTATGTACTAGTCTAATCATACTCAAGTCAGGGCTTGAGTATGATTTAAAGCACCAGAAATCATACTCAAGTCCTTGCCATTAGGGTCGTATTTCCAGTGCTTAAAATCATACTCAAGTCCTGACTTGAGCATTGAGTAGAGTTCTGGAATACGACCCTTAGTTCAGTTTTCGGTTCAAGAAAATCTTCAAATTCGCTGGATTACCCGATCCCTGGTTCCGGGTCGGACACTTCATATCATATTCTTGGGAACAATGAAAAAATGTTACCTACTGAATGATAATTTTATGTAAAGGAAATTGAATTTTCACCCAATAATTTTAACATTTTACATTTAGGTGAGATTCGGGACCCACCGAGATCGAGGTTAAATTAATGGAAAGAGACTGTCATGCAAGAGTGAAGCATTTAATAAATAGATAGCCAACTGTTTGCGTTACAAGCCCGAGTAGAGTTTTCCGACCAATGCTCAAAGATCATTGTTTCCAACTATTAAATTTCGTCCAAATAGTTCTTCTGTTAGTGCGTTTTAGTCACAAACATCCATCGATTTTTTTTAATTTATAATGACGGTATAGGTACCTACATAAGTAAGTACTTATTTGTGATGTGTTCTATAACCAACCGTCTATAATGTGTTTGAAAAATATAAAATTTGTTTAAATACTTACTGAAATAAGTACCTACTATAATAAATAATTATACATGCTCGCAAGAGAACCAATTGTTACTTATCTGTACTCGCTTGACTCAGTCGATAACACAGTCCCTGTACGAGCGGCCGATTGTTCACTGAATTGTACGTCACGAGCTATTTATAAAACATAAATATACATCATGAGATATAACAATTTAGGCGATACTGATCTTAAAGTTTCACACGTGAGTTTGGGAGGTGCAGCATTCAGTAATATCTATGGGTAAGTAAATTTTTCTATCACAAACGTAAATAATATGTTTTTCATTGTGACACTCGCGTCAATGTTATTTCTAGATTATTAATGTTTACAGAGCATTTGATGAAACCCGAAGTATAAATTTAATAAAAGAGTCACTGAGATGTGGCGTCAATTATTTAGAAACGGGTCCTTGGTATGGTCAAGGCAGTTCAGAGAGAACTATTGGAAAGGTAAAAGATGGTTACTTTCTTTTGTTCGATAAGTAAATAACTATAAAATATAATAGCTACACGCGAATGATAATTTGTTATTGCCGTTATGGATCTAATGACTTGTAATTTTATTTAAATATTATCTTTAATTAACTACGAATAATTTTTATTTTAACACTTTTGGAAATTTACACAAATGTTTTAGACATCTTATGCAAATTATTACAAATAACTGATGTAGGTTTGAATAAAAAGCCAAAAACTTGTTAGTGGTAATTTTCGAAAGTTGTAGAACAAAAGTAGGATTTTTAATTACCTATAGGAATGAGTTTTCGTGGTAATTCAGGATTAAAAATAATGATAGTGATTGATAATAGTTATCGCAGCCGCTTGGGCAAAGTGGCGTGAGGTGACTGGTGTCATTTGTGACCCCAAGATGCCCGTTAAGCTGAAAGGACAGGTCTATAAATCCATCATTAGGCCTGTCCTTTTATATGGCAGTGAAACGTGGCCCGTACTTGAGCGCCATAAGCAGGAGCTGCGTGTCACGGAAATGAAGATGCTGCGCTGGATGTGTGGAGTTTCACGGAAAGATCGTGTCAGAAACTCCCGCATCCGCGGCAGCCTTCACGTCCGTGACATTGCAGATAAACTGCAAGAAAGCCGCCTACGTTGGTACGGCCACATCTTACGGAAACCGGCATGCTACGTGGGAAACAAATGTCTGGCTATGCCACCTCCGCCGGGCCCCGGTAGAAGGGGCAGACCCAAGAAGTGCTGGCTTGACGTCGCCAAGGGTGATATGCGTGCCAATGGTCTCACCACTAAGGATGCCGAAGACCGTGCAAAGTGTAGGAGAAAAAGCAGGAAAGCGGACCCCGGGCTCCGCAGCAACACTGCTGAGGACGCAACCGGGACAACGCTGAGATGAGAGAGAGATTGATAATAGTGTAAATTTTTAGGCACTCAAAGATGTACCTAGAGATACGTACTTTATAGGCAGTAAAGTGGGCCGTTATGAAAAAAATCCGGAGAAGATGTTTGATTTCTCCGCGGAGAAGACAGACGCAAGTGTGGACAACACTCTTCAACTGCTGGGCCTAGATTACGTCGATTTAATACAGGTTAGTTTGTAAGAGCAAGTATAAAGGTCAAATTAATTTAATATAATCCTGACTGTGTCCCCAGTAAGTGCATCAAGGGGACGTCAATCATAAAAGATTACAATGCATACATCCTTGCTCTGTGCTCCGATTTACGCTGGACACTTATTGTCAAGGTATTGTTTTAACTTGACGCGGGCAAATTCATAGCGTAATGTTCGTAAGTGAGATTATATTCTAATGTACACATATTATCTTCCTCAGTAATAGTAGGTACCTCATAAGGAACGTTCGTGAAGATCAATTTGGCCATAATTTACAACAAACACACATCGATTTATTTATTCTCTTCGTTATACACAGAGACATTATTGTTGGTAAAAGAGTGTTGGATCTTTTGGCGTGTTCTCCTAAGTCACAAATTACTGGAATTTGGTAATTGTCCGGTGCGTCAATGAATTTATTTTCCAAATTATTATAAATGCCCAAAGAACACAATGCTGTGTAACAATTATCTAAACTTTGAGATGAAATCAAAGTAAAAAATGTAAACAAAGGTGATGCCATTACAAAAAATGTTCCACGAATAGCGGAACAGTGAAAAGGACTAAACATTAATGCTATACTCCGTTTCAATCCATTATGAACAAAAAGTAAAGAAACAAGTACCTGACCCGACCATAGACGGTTTAGTGATGGCCAAGTGTAACGCCAACTAAAAATCGGTGAATTAATTGAATGAATCGATTTGTTTAATTGAGTCATACTAGCGGTTTTCTTTACATAACCTGTATAAGCATATTTAAAATTTTAATTTAAATCCTCCTTCAAATCCTTACACTTAGATACTTGTTCGTCAAATGTTCGATTTAATAATCGATTACTAAACTTTAATTAATTGAACCGAATGTTTTTTTTTCGAACTGCACTATGCAACCACAGGCAAGTCGTATTTGGACTACCATTTTTCAGATACAATTTTACGATGCTATCCAAACGAATATTGTTGGAAAAAATCATGCTATATCAAGTCGAAATCTTCGAAATATACGTGAAAGTGTTACTTATTCGATTTATTGAGTGATTGCTTTAGAATTTTAACCAAACAGGTTTGTTTACTTTTTGTTCAAAATGGATTGGAACAGACCATAGATATTTTATATTGTTTTTAAATGGTGTGCATGTACGAACAAAATATCATCAAATCATATTTTTTATTTGAAACACCATATTTAATAAGAATCTCAAAAAACTGTTTCTCGTGGAAAGATTTTTTATCCTGTTGGCAATGTTTCGGGCATAAACAACCTTTGGCTGTCCTTAGTGTTTATTCGATTTTTTATTTTAATTTGTTATGTATAAACACACACAAATACTTAGAAGTAGAAGTGTGAATAATTAATTGCTACAATACTAATACTTTAATAATTTATTAAAAGAAATGTTTTTTTATTGAAAATAATAAAATAAAATAATAAATTGGATAATTGTTAAAGTCAGTTTTTATTTTTTGGTCGATAGGGATGGATAACGGGTCAAGTCGTCAGGTTGCATTCCCACCAGTGCATCACCGCGATTTTCTTCATTCGGTTTTTGACGGTTGTCGTTATCGAATGTATTCCTTGCTGTGTATGCGTCGTGTTGTTGAGTTTGTTTTTTATAGGTTCAGTTTTCGTTTTTAATTGTTGAGTTTTCTTTTTGTTTTTTTTGTTGTTAAGTTTTGGTTTTACTCTGGTCCATCAACAAAAAAGACACTCTTTCACCGCAGAAAAAAAAGACCACTATATTTATGACACAAAATGTTTCTAAACAGTTTTGTAACTTGTTCTACCCCTGAGCCCAGGGAGACTCAGGGGTTATGTGGGGACTCTCCCTCCACACTGGAAGGCCTACCCCACTAAAACCCCCCCGGGTTTCCCTCTCGTCGGTTGAGTCGGCGCCGTGGGATCAGTGAACATTCACCACGACGCCGCCCGGCCGCTTTAGCTTGCGCCAGGGCTCCCGCGCCAACGGAGGGACGAGTCGGTTGTCCTCCGACCCGCCCCCCCAGACGAGTGAGGCCGTGCAATGCAGGCTCCGGAGTCCCTGTCCAGAGCCCGCTGGTCTCACTAGGGGATCAGGCGAGCAGCGAACTGCCTTCGCCTTCTCCCCGTACGTCTGCGCCGGAGCGGGTGCGCGTCCGCCGCGTCCTCGCGCACCCGCTCCGCGGCCTCCTTTTGCGACATAACCTCTGTGCAAAAGGAGGCCACCGCCTCCAAGGACTCCTCGCTATCGAGCATGGCGGCAACCACGCTCGGCAATGAGAGGTCTTGCCCTATAGTCCCCGTCAGAGTGCGGCGCTGCTCATCCCACCGGCTACACACCTCTAGGGTGTACTGCGCGGTGTCATCCGCAGCGCCGCACTCGTGGCACGACGGGGACGGTTCCCTCCTCGCCACCTTGTGCAGGTAGTGACCGAAGCAGCCGTGCCCGGTCAGCACCTGCACAAGGTGGTACGACAGTGGCCCGTGGGACCGGTTTACCCACTCTACGAGGACAGGGCGAATCACCTCTATGGTACGAGCACCATAGGGGGGATCCGCCAAGCCCTCTTTCCGCCGGTCCCGCATGCGCTGCGCCGCGAGGCGGCGCTCGGCGCTCCCGCTCCACCTCTTGGGGAGCGGGTCGCTCGCCTCGGTCCCTCATTCCCGAATACAGTGGAACCTGTTAATAAACAAACGTGGGAAAAAAAGGTTTATGGTCTATGAGATGTCACTTTGACAGTGACACTTGTTTGTTTAAATTTTTTGACTTCGACTACATCTCAGAGTATAGGGTAATGTATAAACCTACACTATTGGTTATAATCAAAGGTATACATAAACATGACCATACGTCCCGCTTTGAGTGGGACAGTCCCGCTGTCCCTAAAAAGGTCCCGCTTTGACAAAACAGGACAATGGTGCGAAGGCAAAGCTACACAATATTAGTTTTTTTTTAAATTTTTTTAATGATTAAATATTTCGTAATCGTCATAAACATGTGTTTTATTTTTAAAACAATAATAAATTTACAGGCGTCCCGCTCTGAGGAAAAAAGAAAAGGTCGCCTTACCTATACGTAAAATGCAAAATACACTTTATTCTGTTCAGGTTCACGATGTAACATTTGCACCTGATGACCAAGTAGTCCTGAAAGAGACACTACCAGCGCTGGAAAGGGCTCTGAAAGATGGCAAGGCTCGATACATCGGTATTGCAGATTACGATCTCGATTTGATGAAAGAAATTGTTGATGAGTCCGAAGTTAAAATATCATCCATTTTATCTTATGCAAAGTCAACACTTTTTGACAACAGACTTCAAAATTACGCAACGTATTTTAAGGTTTGTTAAAAGCGTTTGGCATGTGATAGCCAGTCTAAAATAGGCTTAGGTACGGGTACCTAAGCCTATTTTGTTTATTTTATTTAGGTACGGGTACCTAAGCCTATTTTAGACTGGCTATCGATATGATATCGGGATCATCACGTACATACAAGTAAGCAGTAAAAGAGTGAAGGATAAATACAGAACAAAAAAGCTGATAACGTAAACATTCTCAAATTAAGTAACTTCGCTACTGTCGTCATGCCTGCAGACTGAGGAAAAAGTTTTTTTTTAAGAGGCCTTTGTCTATTAGTTATAGGCTAACATGGCGTGGTAAAGTGAAGGCTTCATCGATTCACACACTTTGTTTTATTATGTGAGATTAGTTTGTTAAGCAGGTACAATAAATTTACTGTTGACATATGTGTGAAATATCAAGAGAGGTGATATTGCATAGCATATCCATCGTAAAAGTAAACGTGACATTTAAAGTCTGTCCGAGAACATTTTCTTTCAGAGAAGTTTTAGAGGATTTCCTATAATTTTCGCTTCAATGTAGACTGGAACTTGAAAGCAAAAGTACTTCATTAGGTACCTAAATATATATTTATGATACCTAGTAGCTACGAATGCTCAACTACGGTCATACGCGTCACCCTATAATATTCACCACGATTTATATTGGGAAAGACGTCAATAAAAATAAGTTAAGCTTTAACTTATTCCCAGAGCAAGGGCATTGGAGTGATCAATGCAGCCGCAACTGGAATGGGTTTGCTGTCCAACAAAGGACCTCAGCCTTGGCACCCCGCCAGTGACGACATAAAGGCTATATGCAGACGTGCATCTGATTACTGTAAGGTAAAATTAAATTACAAAAATGGTGTTGCATACAAAGTGCTATTTTTATTAAGGCTGATGTTTAGGTAGTGGCAGTATTTTACACAAATAAATAAATATTATAAATCACATACGTTGCTCTGATCTTAAAGTAACTAAAGCACTTGGGTTATGGAAATCGGAAACAGTGACACAAACACCCAATATAGAAAATACAGAAAAGTTAGTTATTCTACATTGACCCGGTCCTCAGAGATGGCGAAATGATAATGAAAATCGGTGTGCAAGCCACTACAGAGGTCGTCAATGTATTTTGGCTTATGGTCAAAACGTACAACCGACATAACTATAATATAAATCAAATCGGTTTCCCAGTGAACTAGGAGTCATGACATTGGCATACTTTCTTTTACTTCCTCCATCGTATCATAGCGGACACTTTCTAGACATACGTCGTTGTAGTGTTTAAATAGCTTTTTACGTGAAGTTACCACACTTTGCCTTCACTTTCTGACTGTAAGCTCTTACTGACTTAGGCGCCGCGCAAACTACCGTGCATCTTGTGTTTCATGCAATTATATGAAATCGACACAGTCGCCGGTTGTGGCAGTCGGTCACTGCCGCAACGCAATTTGTATGAAAATAGAATTTTCGCTTCTAGTTGCCGCTGACTTGCATCCAACACAAGACACACGTTTGTGCGACGCCTTAACAATGATCCTGCCTTCAGAAAGACAAGTTAGTTAACTACTTGTATATTCGACTCTAAAAATGTAAGTAGATACCCACAACACAAAAATAATTTAAATTTGAATAAGGTTACCTAACACGTGAAAATCGTGAAATGTATTTAAATTTGAATAAGGTAACCTAACACGTGAAATGTATTTCTTTCAGGAAAGAAATGTAGAACTAGCGCGAATAGCAACCTGGTTTACTTTGAATCAACCGGACATAGATACGAACGTATGTGGTTTCTTCAACGTAGACCAGTTAGCTAGTACTTTGGAAGTGATGGACAAAGGACTAACAGAACTGGAGACTCAAGTTCTCAACGATGTACAACTGAAGTAAGCCTGACTAGAAATATAAAAATGTAGCTAAATTGCGGGAAATCAATTGGTACTAATTTTAAATTCATGTTAGCTATCGTTTATCATTCATGTTATGCATAGTTTTTCCTATCTGGCTTTACTTATCGGAACATATTTTACTTTGAAACTTTAATAATAATAATTTAAAACAAGTATGGTAACTCCATACAAACGTAGCAGCGTGGCTTGTGTGCGCTCCCGCCGCGAACGGTACAGGACACGAACATTCGCGATGCATTGTTGCAGATGCTGATCGGCCCACTTTCATTATTATGCGAAAGTACGCAGGCTCGCCATATACATAAGTTACCATACTTGTTTTTTTTACTCTATGGTAAAGGTAAGCGTTGTTTGAGAATAAAACTTAGTTATTTACGTAAACTTTAATTTGATACTGAAAAATTTACTTGCCTCAAAAAGCCGCCATAATACCTTTCCTCGCGGATAGTAGATAATGAGTGATAATGTTATAAGCAATATCTATTTTCTAGGTACTTCGATAAAGTAACTCTGCATTGGGACGGCGTTGAACTTCCTTCTTATAAAAAAGAATTAAATAAATACTAAAAATAAAATATAAATTTATATAACATTTGTTTTGCATGTTCTCTATATAGATGTGTCTATTTTGTATACAATATATACAAATGTACAATATAATATATATATACAATATAAAGAATATATATATTATATTCTGTAAATTGTGAGATGTTACTAAATAAAACGTAATAAATATTTAATTGTATTATTTACTTTTAAACCAGATTATTGGAGAAATCACAAATATAGGAAACATGATGACTAAAATTGTACTTAATAAAAACAATTTTAAACATTGTACAACAATAGGTCGTTCAAAACTCAAGAACGTACATACGGGTTGGTGGTGAGAGCAATAAATAATATTAAATTTATCTCTCTTATGATAAATCGCTTGGTACATTTACATTTCAATACTAGATAATATCACAATTGATAATTAAATACTTAAACGTATTGCAAGTCCAAAGAATAACACAGATCACACCTGACAAGTAAATTTTGGTCCCTCGCATACTGGCCCCAATATCAAGTTTTGACATTTATGTTTGGGTTCCCAGTAGGTACAAGCAAAAGTTCGAATACCACGAGGGTCCACAACTTACTCGTCTCCCTTTAATTTTCATTGTTACTGTACTATAATCGGTTAAGTACGACCTATGGCTGTATGAATTACGAAATTGCATACAGATGTTAATTAATATATAATAAGTGGGTATCCGTAGTGTTCGTCAATTTTATTGCACAGGGCCCAAAATTTCGACGGCCCACTGCATAAACGTGTATATAATATATACACTGTTGTCTCCATCTACACAGCACTAACAATAGTGTAGTGTATTATTATATCTATACTTTTATTCTGTGGGTCCATCGAATTAGGCTCAATATACATTGCGACGGAACGGAAGCGTCAATTTCGCTCCACGGCGCAAGAAGGCTCGCGTGGTCGGTGGAATGCTCGAGTATTCGCAGGAATGTTCGAGCATTCGCGAGCTTTCGTCGACGTTATTACTCGCGCGAGAATTCCGCGGAAGACGCTAACGTGATTTTTGACTCGTATCAAGTTTGTACATTACGGAATTGACCATAAAGTTCATTACGCTATCTACAATATAGTTATTAAAAATTCGCCTCCATTCCCTTCCGCCGCAACATTAATTGAGCCTTAGAGTGGTTACACACGGCGACTTTTAGCAGTTATGCAATTATTGTTTTTGTGATTGCGTCGCTCCACTTGCGATTTATAGGCGATTGCATCGATGCAAACGCGCGACTGCAGCGATACAAACGCACGAATGCTATAATACAAACGCGCGAGTGTGTCGATACCAGCGTGCGATTGCATCGATACAAACTGAAACTGAAATCAATAAATATGTTTAATACATAAATTAGTTAATTAATTTAAAACGTGCTTCGCGTTTGTATCGCGTTAAAATTTTCGTACAAATGTAAGTGCGCATTTGACCTCCATTTCACCAGTATCGATGCTTAAAGATGCTTGTGCGTGTAAAGGTAGAAAATTAGCGACTGCATCGCTTTAGCATCGCTGCTAAAAGTCGCCGTGTGTAGGCGCTCTAAAACTTAAACATTATTGTTAGTGAATCGATATTTTTAATACCAATTTTTTATTACAAAATTATAATAGATGTTTGTCATCAAAGAATTAATAAAATCGGGGGCGGAAAGAGGTAATCGTAATAGGCATTCCAGTGTGTACAAATAATTTATCTATCTACCGGTAAAAACTTGCACAATACCGATGATCAAATCATTTTAAATTCTGCACGCGTTGATACCTGGTGACGATTACCTTTTTCGATTCCTGTATTATAATATAATACACTGTTTCATATACACAAGTGGCTGTTAATCAGGCAGGCAGTGTTATCTGCATTCCGTACTTATTATTAGGGTGAGCTTGCGATATGCTAATTACAACTGAATTATCCAGACCGGCAGACCACACAGTACACAACAGTGCCTACGTATACTTCTATAAAAGGCCAATACAAACACAGCCTCGAAGATAATCTACATCAATGTGCATTTATCGTGTAGCAAAAAATCATAAACACATACAATTATTGTAACAATAAGCCGATTAAACAAACAATTAAATGATTATTTATAGAAACTACTTAAATAGGCACCTATTCATCAAGAAAACAAATTATGTATAGAGTCATATTCACTCTACGTATATTCTTTTAAAATGGTTTAGTAGATTAGCTGCTTATTATAACTGGAAAAAAGTACCACAAGAGCTGCAGTCTGACTGCGAAGCAATTACAAATTGCCAGTTGGAATGCAGTCGGAAAGGATTTTAAATTCTGTTGGCATGACTGCATTGCAATTGCCTAATGCAAGTACAGCAAATTATTATAATTTTCACTTTTAAATTAAAGGACCAAATGAAGAAATAAATACGAATTTAACTTATATTCTGTGTTAATTTTTTTTTTTCAATTTATGCAAGTAACAAAAGTGTCATCCTAATTTCTGCTTAAATATTTAATGAACACTTCGACACAATATATTTCGTGACCAGTGTAGATGGAGACAAAGGTACAACAACCTTTAAACTCGGTACAAATTAAAATACAGAATGTCCCACGGCCATGCGACACGGGTGGAAAGTTTCTTCATGACGCAATATATCCTATTTGCAATATTTACCCTTAGGTTAAATATTGCAAATTATTTTATTTTTAACAGTTGCTTGCCTCATCTGGGAATCGTACCGACCAAATGTAAAAAAAGCTGTTTTGTGTTGCCAATTGTTAGGGTGAATTATAAGGATTAATTAATTAATTAAGCCTTTAAGTAACATAATAGACATGTTAAAGCAGCACAATGAAGCTTTACATTTAAGTTTACGAAAGTGAATTATAATGCATTTTACTGTTGATATTCGTACTTCAAGATGAGGTTCCGGTATATAACAGTCGCAGAACAGCCGAATTTCTTAACGTTTGTTTTTTGTTCCATGCAATTTTTTTTTAAACATTACTATTACATTACGCGCATCTAAATTTTGTCGTGTCCAGATACACTGGTTACGAAACAAAGAATATAGAAAGAAGAATAATTCCCTCGTTATATAACTTTGAAATGTAAATATCTCACTAGATATAGGCTATCAATTGAAATAGGTATAACCGTCTTTCAACAATAACAAATGCCTATGTGCATAACTACATTAAATTTACGAAATGTTACAAGTTATATTTAAAAGGATAAAACTATCACCACTTACATTTAACTTCAAATGGACGTGTTCGTGATGTGCGCATGTAAATGTATGTACGTTTTACTTCTATATGACTTAAAAGACGAGGAAGGAGGCCTATAAATTGTCCACCACAGATGAAACTTACATAACAGTTAGCGTTAAAATTCGCTAGGCGAGGACAGTGCAATTTTTCATTACTTAAACTTACGTAAATGAATAGACATTTACTATATGTACTTCCACTATCTTTGTCTGTCAGTAAAAAGTAACGGCTAATAAAAAAATTGTCCACCACATTACAATACAATAATTAACCTGTAATAAGCTGTTTTCACTATGACTGCAGAAATAATGCAATAATAAAAAAAGTATTGCATTTTAGTGGCAACTAAATTGCAATACTTTTTTATTATGACACAAACTGACAGAACCAGCAAGTCGTGTGGTAAGTGACACGGATGTCATAGCAGTTTCAGTGTTACTTACGAGCTTTAAATCGCAAAGATCTGACGGGCACTGCCAGTACGCGCGTCACCCTTAAAAAAAGTTTTCAAATCGCATGTGCCTGTAATTTTACCAAACGTTTTATAAAAGCAAGTCCAGCCTAACTTGTGGTTATAATAACCTTGTATTACTTTGATCATGTAAACTTTGTTGTTTTTCATATTATACTATTTATATTTAAAATACAGGAAAAACGGAGAATTATTTGCTCTTTTTATCGAAACTATTAGAATAAACCACAATCCCTGTCATCCACAATGGCATCATGATAATGCTCCGTGCATTGCAATCATCCCCCTTTGCGCATGAAGTAAATACCTACATGCATTTATTTTTTCGTTGAGCATTACAATGGCTTTCGCCGAGTATTACAAAATCTACATACTATTTATATACTAGTAAACAAGTTTTTAAAGCATGACCTACCTACCCTACATATGTACTTTATTAGGCTCGCTTTTATTATACTCTGCCCCTATGATGTTATCGTGGCCGTTTATTTTAATAGGCGTTTACCTATACATTAAGCATCAACCATATATTTTATTGCATGACCATTTCCGAATATATACGCTCTAGTCGTTGCATTGCCAGCATATATCCATCCGGCCTTTACAATGATGCGGTAGAACGACTTTCAATCCGGCCATTACCATTATGTGAGTGAGGCACGCGCGGTATGAAAATTGTAGATACGTTTTTTATACTTTTATAAGCACCCAGACTCCTTTTTTAGACATATAGGAGTTATTTTGATATTGGCAAGTTCTCGTTATTGTTATCAGTATCACACACTGTATTTTATGTTGTAGTAAACAGCCAGTCACAACAATATAAATACCAAGAATACCGGGCTGTAATTTAATTACGAATTCATGTGGTAATTATTTCATAAAATCACAATTAAAAGTGGCCGGCGTGTTGCAAAACTATTAAAGGATTTCTTTTATAAATATCAATTTGATAACATTTATGTCGTATACATAACTATAATAACGATAACTGCACTTATATGGGGTTTAGTTAGCTTCTAGTTACGAGTTTCGAAAAATGCACACATTTTTTTTCCTTACCTTAATAAAGTAGAAGTATATCGACGAAATGCAACATTTTAGCCCAAATGCATTTGCATGTTCTAATGATAGCAATTCAGTTTAAAAACCTTTCAGGTTAAACAAGTGTTTCATAGTGCAATGAGGCACTCAAATGTAGATATATCTATAACTCTACTAGTGCTGAAGACCCGCCTAGCGAAGCTTGGCTCCGTGGGTTCTTACCCCGTACAACTACATTCCAAATCAAGATGGAAAGTGTAAACGTCGATCCTTAACATAAAAGATTTCCATGGAAATGTATACCACTTACACTTTACTTATTTAACTCATTCTTGTCTCACTAAAAAAATTACTACAAATTTGATTTACGCCACATCTGTAAATCTTACTAGTGCTATACAACATTCACTCAACAACTACCAAATAAGTAAACGGTGAAGGCCCACCCTTTTGCAGGCTTTGACTCTCAAATTGTGGTGATTTCAAAATTCGAGTACTTCACTCCCCTTAGCAACATCTACTTTGTTTGACCATTGATAACTTAAAGTTATGCTGCCAAAAACAGTGAAATAGGAGTTTGAAACAGAAGTTAACGCTCAATTAACGCAAAGAAAAAACAAAACTGTTTTTACATTTGTCAAATTAGCTTAAGATTACGTAACAATGTTGACACAACTAACAACTTATACGATATTATTGCTTTAATTACACATTAAACACTCCGTGGTTCTTATTCTATAAGAGGTTTTTGACCTCGACGATAAAATAAAGCATTTTACTAATGAATATGAATAATATTTGTTCAACATTTCGATATTGGCGATAAGAAATTAAGGTACTTTCACTTGATCCCAATTGATTATTACTATCCATGTAACATCTAGTTACAATACAAAGCAAATTTATACAATGCGAGTATAGTTTTATATTTTTTTCATTAAAACAGGCTGTCAGATAGTCTACTAGATATTCAATTATATCCATTTCACCATATTTTCAGCACGTTGTAATATAGCGTTAATAGACACAACAAGCTGAATCGTGTCCATATTTGACACCAGCGAAAGTTTCAACAAACAAATAAAAACGGAATATACATCCTAGTTATACTCATGACTTGGGTTCAAGTTTGCCTAATGTAAGTAAAACAAAAAAAAATATAGTGCATAATGTGTACGCAGACCTATTAACATCTGCGGCGTAATAACTTATAAAATAATGTGATATTAACATTATTGCCAATGCGGGACATTCAATTATAAATTAAATAAATTATTATATATAGGTTGATAAGAAAACCACTGACCAATTTAGAGGAGCGTACTGTAATAATGGAAATAAAAAATGATATCCTTTTTTTTTCAAATACTTGTCAAATAAATAAGTTATGACAAGTTTTCCGGTAAATTGTGAATAATGCTGACACTCGACAATAATAGACGCCGTTGCCATAGCAACAATCAGTTTGTAATAAATAGAATTACAATTTTCCTCATTGACTTACAATTATATTTTCCTTTATACTTTCTACGAGCTTAGGACCGTCAAAATACAGAAGTTTTTGTTAAAACAGGTGGAAATTGTTACATCACAAGTAGGTACTACTGTATTCAAACGCATTTAAAAATTTGTAATCAACTATGTACAATTACCTATCTATCGTAATCATCGTCATTATCTGCTGCAATGCTGAACATAGGCATCCCCCAAAGAGTGCGCAACGATAAAAGTTAAAAATCAAAAAGTCACTTAATGCAGTCAGCAATATTTCAATAATTGCTCAAAATGTAGTCCAGTCCAAGCTGTAAACACTCTAGCGCGTTTAATAATGTTCCTCCGTAATTTCCGCAGCACTGCACGGTCACTTTAAAGCATCAATGGATTCGTCACGGCTTGGGGTTTCGTTCACATTACACTCGGCGTTTAACTTCGCCCCAAAAAAAGAAATCACGTGGAGTAAGATCAGGTGACCTGGGACGTCAATGTACTAATCCATCAAGCCCTGAGCTCGTAGACGGGGGACGCTCTCCACCGTTTAGAGTCTTCGAGCTTCGTGAAGACTCCTACCACTTTCGATATAAACACAAACCATCTCGTAATACTCCTCCTATTCCTGGTGGGAATACATTGTTACGCAACGACGACTGCAATATGTATGCGTTTGCGTCGATTTGATGTCGCGCGAGCGGCACCAGTCGCTCGAAGAACCGATTATGATTTACTAATTTTAGGAAACCACACGTCAGAAATCATTAGGAAATACTGACATTTTAAAAAAGCAAAAAAAATGAGATTATTTTATTATATCACTAATGTGTTGTATTACTTAATCTTATGCACAGGACAAAAAATGGACAGTGATTTTTTATCATCCTGTATAGACAAGATTTTCATTCCTACGTAATGCATAATTTTTAACAAATTTACGTTAATTAAACTCTTTTACGAATAAAATTGTATACGTATTGAATTATTTTGCAATGCAGGCACGTTGAGTATTCAATAGACATAGGACTAATACTTACAGATTGTATCAAAAGTGAATTTAAATCTTTATCTTATCTTTTATAGGTCAATGGGTAGATATAACTTTTGCCCTAGCGAAAACTTGCGAAAAGTAATCGCAATAAATATCTACAATCCTTGCAAAAAAACTTTTTTGTAATAATTGTAGTAGATAGAGGTAACAAATACATAATAAAACTTTAATTGTTTAACAAATTAGAAATTTAAAAGAGGTATGTTACGATTATTTGAAAACTCACAACTTTCTGTAGAAAAAAATCTTAGGCCTAAAACGTAGATTTGCAGTAGATACAAATGTCATATTATAATATAAATGACAAATTAAATTTCAACAAATGAAGAGAATCTTTAGGAGAGATTTTAAGTTAGATCATAATATGAGACAATTTTAAAATAATAAATTATTATCTTCTTAACTTGGTGAGGATTATAATAGATGAGATGAGATGTCATTTAACAAAAACTACCGAATGAATTTGCTGTTCGAAGCACCTAGTCAGCTACGTCCTCAGATCCCCACAGAGAATGTTCAGAAGAGTGTTGCCAAGTATATACAATTTTTTTATAATTGGCCAGAACTACACATTATTCTGTTAGCAGCATGTAGGATCATTTGAGATTATTGCTAAAAAAGTCTAAGTTGACAATCCCTCTGATCAGTCTGGCTTTAAGTTCGCAGACGATCTCGAAAGTGACGATGGTTGAGACCATCATTTAGGACATGCTACTTTTTATTAAGTTAAATTTAAATATTGAGAAATGTCGGTTTGTTTAAAAAACAAATATACGCGATTAAAATCCGGAAAAATAGTTTCATTTACTATTAAATATTGAGATTTTTTCCCCTCTATAAAATTTTAGGAACAAGTTTAAGTTATAGTTATCAAAACAATAATATAAAAGTAATTTAATTTTTAGAGCAGGAATATCTAATCATGTGTAAAATTTATGGTAGCCACGGAAAATACAACCAAGTAAGTAGCAAGGCACCACAAGCTCTGAAAACGTTTTAATTTCTTACTTGATTTTTTGTTTTATTCAAGTTGGATTATCCTTTAATTCACGAGAGGGGTAGCAAATTAGTAATATTTAAGTAGTGTTTGGCTATGTTTAAGTTAATGAATAAAAATGTATGTTGGAAACATCTCGCTCCAAAGACATCGAGTTTAAAAAGTATCATAATATTCAACTAACGTGCGCATGCGACGATACATGCGTTCCTCCAGGTCGGTGGTAGGCGACATAGTCACCGTATGCTCTTTTGCTAAATTTGACCTGCGAGATCTTTCAAGCACGCTCCCATCTAACATTTTCTCTAAATTTGTTGACACTAGTTTGGACAGATTTTCGTGTTTAGTACGTGTAATAAAAAGTTTAGTTCCATTGGTGGGATCAAAATTAACAATACCTAACCTGTATAATTCCTTCAGTAATCTTGCAAAATTGTCAAATTTTTGCATGCTTTCAATTTCATGCAAATCAACTTTTAAGGCAGGTTTTCGATTTTTTGTAGTTCTTGTGTGCCATACTAGTACTTTTGAGCAATTATCAGCTAAAGGTTCTATGTCCTCTAATTGGAGGTCTAAGCTGCGAAGAAACTTATCTTCTTCGTATCCTGCAATGTAGGGCATGATAGCATCGGGCTTTAGAAACTTGAGGTTAACGGCGAATCCTGCCATATCCACAGGGAATGTTCTTCGAGCAGGCCAGGAGTCAAAGAAACCCACCACCTGAAAACGTATACTTGCTTTCTATTTATATGTACACATCTGAATATAAAAATAAAGACAATGCTGACGAATATTGTCTTTGAAAAGCATAAATCTGTCATTAAAACTACATAGGGCGCACTATAAGCATAGAATAACTATAAGTTTTCGGAACTGGCCACTTACATAAACAACATTTAAAAAGTAATCACAACATTTGAAAATGGAACTCATTGGCTGTAGAATACAGTTTGTTTCATCCGACTGTCACTTGTTTTTACATTGTGGCGTCATTTTAGAAATTGGTTGTCTACATCACAATGGATTTAACTCGCGAAAATTTTCGTAGTATGATTTTCTACGACTTTAAGTGTAATTTAACAGCTCAGCGGAGCTTCCCTCGACTTCAAGCTGCTTTTGACGATGAAGCACTATGCAAGACGACTATTTATAGCTTGTTTGCAGAGTTCAAACGCGGTCGTGTGAATCTCAGTGTGATGTCGCCCGCCATCACGAAATTCGTCACTGACTGTCCACTGCTGTGAACAACAAAAACATCGATGCTGTGCACCGTACGATCAAAACAGACAGGTATGTGACATACCAGAGATTCGGGCATCTTTAGGCATCGGCATAAGTCAAATACAATCAATCTATACAAACATTTGGGTGTGAAAAAGCTGTGCTCTCGGTGGATCCCAAACATTTTGACTGAGGCTCAAAAAACGGATCGCGTCTCTTGGTGCAATGCCATGCTTACCAGATTCAACGAAGGGGCGTCAAATTTGGTGTGGGTCATAATAACAGATGGCGAAACTTGGATTTATAGTTACGATCCCAAAACAAAGCAGTAATCAAGCGTATGGGTCTTTCGAGATGAGCTGAAACCAACCAAAGTGGTGCCGGCAGTTATTGACAAACAAGTTATTGCACCACGATAACGCCAGTTCTCACACGGCCAGACAGACAAATGAGTCTTTGAAGGGACAAATGAGTTTTTGAAGGTGAACAACTTTGACCTTATGAGCCATCCCGCGTACAGTCCCGACCTGGCACCTTGTGACTTTTATTTATTTCCAAAAATTAAGAACCAGGTACGCAGTCAAGGATTTTCAGCACCTGAAGAGGCTGTTGAAGAGTATGAAAAATATGTATCAGAGAGTGTCGCAGAGGAGTGGCATAAATGTTTTCAAAATTGGTTCATTGATATGAAAAAGTGCATTAACGCTAATGGAGAATATTTTGAGAAACAATAAATTCATTTCTGACCATTAATAGTATTTTATTCACTCCGGAAACTTATAGTGTGCCCCACGTAATAATGGTATATAGTTACATAACCTTTGTGGTCAACAGCAACACATTAACATACACTTCACGCCCTTTTCCCTTATGGGTAGACAGAGACCAAAGTCTTTCACTTCCTAAGATCCTGACACACGTGTCTGCTTTCATAAGAATCAATGCTTTTACGATTTCATACATGTTCATCTAGCGCAATTGTTCAAGTTGCGCTATAAGCGCACTAAGCATAGCTTGCTATTGATGTATCGTTGACAAGAGATACATTTTATAAAATCTAAGATACACAGAAACAGCTTTACCTTTCCATGTTTAACGACAGGAGCTGAGACACCGAAATTTCCAATTAGACCAACTGGAAACATGGACACTTTCTTTGTTTGACGTATTTCATTAAAAATCTGCAGGTCGAGAGTATTATCATCATCTCCAAAGTACAAAACGCCATCGCGGGCATTTTCATGCAGCCAGCTGAGTGCTGCGCGTCGATTTGCCACGCCCCGTGGAAAAAGTGCGGTTTTGTAAATGTATGGTTTGGGACTTGAAATATGTGTAAAAGGTAGGCCCGATCTTCTAAAATATCAAAATAATTAGTTTAAAAAAAATCTACTTGCAATTATTTCTAAAGCATTTTCTTTACAAATGAAGTTTGCATTGAATACTATATTGGTGAAAGGAGTGTTATTCAAAAAGATAAACAACTGTCTACTAAATGTAGAACTGTGAAACTGTAACTAAATATGAATCTCTTATACCAACCTCGCTGCCATAAAGTAATTTATAAGAATAACTGCTTCAACATGTGTATAATTATTTACAATAAATTACAAATTCATTACATTAATTAGAAACTATAGAGACTAAAGAAACATTGAATCGCATTAATATTTGCACATCTGCTTGCAGGTTGAATACAATGTACCTAATTTTACTTAAGACCTTTGTAATTACTGTATTCTGGCAAATAAACGTATTCTATTCTATTCTATTCTATTAATTTACAAGGATTGATGAATGATTAGAGATCAGTCTGGTTTACTTAGGCAAATTACAACATTACCTTAACTATTAATTTTTCAAAGTATAAAAGAAAACTATAAGCATTCTTAATAAATAGTATTTTATATATAACACTTCTTCACAGAATTCTTCCACATTTAATAATTGACATAACTTTATCATTTTTTCTTTAAATATAATTCTTTAATATGTTTGATAATGGTAATGCAATATTTCACAATTCGTAATTATGGTTAATATAAAAACATGTTTGCATGTCAAAAATGGTGCAATAAATTAATAATTAATAATATTTACAATAAGAGACCACAGTACCATATTCTGAAAAATAAATAAATAGATTGATCGAATGAACATTGAATTTCAAACATCAATCAAAGTTTGGAATATTTACTTACTTCAAAATATTTGTCACCAAGGGAGAACAAACTGGCTGATCATCTGCTACAATCCAATGTAAACGAGGAACGTGCATCAGTGTATGAGCCAACCGGGTAAGTTCAGGTATCTGCTCCGGTCTCGGAAAAGTTGGTGTCACAAAATAAATCATTTGCATGTCACTATTATGATCAATATACCATCTACTGTCATTGAAATTAACTCGGCATATTAGATTCTTTACGTCGATTTTTATTGTCGTTTTTTTAAATATGTTAGTAACGCTGAAAAAGAACACAGAATTAATCGCTTCTGTGATTACAAGTAGTTACTAAACTACATAAAATTAAATGTGACAATTTGATTAGCATTGGTTTGGTTCTCTTTGTGGTTTGTAACTACTTGCAGTAATGATAAGAAATAAACACATAGCTGCATTTCCATACACTATTTTTAAACATTTTTAAATTTATAAAAAAAATTATAAATATTTATAAAAAAAATTATAAATATTTATAAAAAAAATTCAAAATATTGGGACACTGTGCGCCTTGAGGATGTGGTACAGGTTAATGAAGTAAATGTTGCTCTTTTTTACAACAAAGAAAAGTGTTGAGATAAAACCAATTTGCCAGAGAGAACACAAAACTTTAATGATGGGTGAAATCCCGAACTCGCATTGTGGTGCAACAATGTGCACCAATCAATGAGAGGATGTCCAGAACATGGTGAGGTGTAACAGTAATGTCTGCAACTATTTATTTTTATTTATTAATAATTTTACAAAAAGATACAATATAATTTAAAACATGCGGCACAACAAAAACCCGCATGGGTTTATCCGTGCAACTCAATGCATGTGTGTATGTGTCAAGAACATTAAAGAAATGCAGAATAATACATCCACCAAACAAATCACTTAATAGTCTGGACGCATACATTTCCATTACCTGGCGCAAATTGCTAGTATATGATTACTTCATAGGTTTCATAATAATCAATCTATTGTTCGTTACTTTTGATTACGTGAAATTGTAAGTATTGTGATGATGTGTTATTACTTACCTTAGAGTAGAATTGCACCACATCAGTAAGTAAAAAGCAGCCAAGAATACGAGAGACATGGTAAGTATTTTTCTAATACTTTTAGTAGGTTTCATTGTAAGTAAAACCTAAACAAAACCATGCGAAGTAAAATTATACATTTACACAATATAATTAATCATATTAAATGTATTTGTTTTGTGTTTCACATTTTATATCGATGCATTATTTTTACATTAGGATAGGCTATAACAGAAATATAATACACCAAAAAGTAAAAAGGGCCACCACTACCGACTTGACATAGACCGAGTCGTAGCGCTTAAATTCTCTTTGGGCCGAGTGTGTTGCACAAAGAAAAGTTAGGCAAGGACAAATCTAATTCCGTGCTTTATTTTTTCCCCATCAGGTGCTCGCTGTCTTCTATCTATCCTTCACAATCCTTTGAAATTCACAATCACACACTTTGACATTGACATATTGAAAAACAAAAATATTATTTCGTGGCCTAGGTGCTTAGCATTTCTGACTCGCTATAAATAGTTTTTTGGTTGTCAATATATCTTTTGTTTAAGTTCGAGATAACGTTCCATTTGTTATAAATTGATTTTTCGTTCGAATATAGTTTATACTTTTTTTAGATATCTTGAGAAGTGGAACCATCTCCAGAAATAGGATGAGATAGACTCTTTTTATACTTTTTCAAGATGTTCGTTGGAAGAAACCGTTAGAATAGATTGAAAAGAGTTTTATGAATAATTTGTATGTACATGTATATTGTGTTTTGTAATTTTAATTTTGATTTTGATTTAAATAATGATTTTTGGTTGTCTTGTTAATATACACTTAAGTATTTTTGGTGATGTTAACATGTTGTTTTTAATACATAAACTAATTACAAATAATTTGTGACCGTAACCGACTTCTTAGTTCTATTTGTAAATAAAGCAACACAAAACAATTTCATCTATCAAATATCAAAGCAATGCTATTATCAAAGATCAATAATTTAAAGGAGACCATTAGACGAAGTAAAAAGACAACACGGGCGACACATCTCAGACCGACTACAATAAATATATATCCATTTCATCCTTTCATGCTCCTTTAGATTTACTAATAATCTTAATTGTCCTTTTTCTACTCATTGCATGCGCAAAAGATGGAAAGAGACCCATTACGTCAGTTTTAAAAAGCATATATAAACTTCTTGGTCATTTTCAATTGTTCGAACCACAAAAGCGATTGAAATATTTAGAACAAAGAAACTATAGAGTTCATTTGATTTTAATCTAATTTTTAAAATGATTTTTTTATTAAACGTTAGCAATAACTAACAAAATATTGTAGTACTCGTTTTACGGCTTGGGATTATCTATCAGAAGTCAGAAAATACATTTGCCCGAAATCATTATTTTTATCATTAGCTCGTATTTTCATAATATCAAATGTATTTTTTTACGAAGATTACAAAACAAAAGCTAATTTTATCTATGTGAAAAGCATCAAAATTACTCGAAAGCGTAACGGTTTTGTTATAAATCGGAATTACGGATATTTGAATTTACGTTTAGTTGGAATATCGGTACATTTCTTATAGTACACGCTTATTTTCACATTTGTAGTAATATTTGTATGTATGTACCTGCCCAACTCTTTATTATACCTTTAAGTGAATTTGTAGGAAATTGGACATAATAATATACAGGTGTAAATTTGAGATGGGGCAGCAAGGCCAACTTCCTTAATCGTTGTAGTTACAGGAAAATGGTTCTCGAAGACTATCCATGAATTTTGAAGATATTTTGAATGGCATTCACAGATTTTGAAAAAATGGTACAGTCAGCAAGGTAAAAGGAAATTTTCACAAAACTTTTTTTATGCCCTTCGATCCAGTCTCTGGTAAGGATCAATAGACTCGGTGGGACCAACTGGGGTAAGAGTACTCTAAATAGGAAATGAAACTATTTTTCCGGATTTAAATCGCGTATATGTGTTTTTTCAAACAAACCGACGTTTCGGGCCCTTTACAGGGCCCATGGTCACGGTTGACCGAGGTGGTACAGTCTTCAACCAGTTATGTCTAATATTAATGCAAACTACCCTATTTTTTCACTATAGTTACAATAGTTATTAATTAAATACCCTATTTTTAATTTTACAAAGAAAATATTCCAATTTAAGCTATATTAAGTTTTAAAAATTATTTTATCGAATGAATTTTTTTTAAGTTCAATTTATTATTAATAGAAATTAAAATAAACTAAAATATTTTAATTAGTACTCCAGTCTTATGTCTGTTTGGGATTTTTCATTAGAGGAAATACTGGATCCCAAACTGGTGGTACGGAGAAACCATCTTCCCTGTTGAAATTAGGATGTTTTTTAATTTCAATGGCCTCTCGCAGCATCCTGGGTAGATAACGGGCTTCTTTTGCAAGGACCTGGGGTTTGTCAAACTTCATTGAATGTGTAGGTTTATCCATGACATGCTCGCAGACTGCAGACTTGTTTACGCGACGGTGTTTGACATCAGCTATATGTTCTTTGACGCGGGTACAAATACTTCGCTTTGTTTGTCCAATATAAGAGAGACCGCACTCACAGTCAAGCTTGTAAACTCCTGCACCCTGTAAGGGGATGTTACATTTCACGGGACTCAGGAACTGAAAAATCTTCCTCAGGGGCTTGAAATAGGTCTTGATAGATGCGCGCCTGAGGACTCTTCCGATTTTGTCTATAACACCTCCTCTCACGTAAGGTAAGATGGCAGGTCTTAGCTCGAGTGTTGGTGGTTTCACACGGGGCCTGTGGCACGTTACGACAACGTATTATGTATTTTAAAATAAAGACAACAACGAAAAGCAAAATAACATAATAAGTCTATGATAGTAAGTGCTCGAATTGATTGACGGATGCATCGATTCGCTCTTTTCCGCAAAGAGCAAGTAGCGGTGAAATTCTACTCAGATGATTCTACTGAAAATTGCTGCAAGTGCGTCTTTCAATTCTTGAACACTGTTGTATTTTTTTATAAATTTAGTTTTTTACATAGCCCCAAAGAAAAAATCAAGAGGCGTCAGATCAGGACTACGCGGTGGCCATTTGATAGGACCATGAGTTCCAATTAATTTGTTTTCTCGGTTGAGAACATTTTGATTAAAAATCGTCTTAAAAGTAACAATTCTCTATTAACAAAACAAAACAAAGCTGTTCCAAATTTAAAAAATAGTGATATGATTATGATTTGGTCTTACTTAAGTCTTATTTGTAGAGTAGTGACCAGTTTCGTTTCTAACAAAAACTTTTCATTTAAAATGTGTGTTAAAAAAAAGCTTAAAGTAAAAAAAAAGTAAAAAAGTTTTGTAAAAATTGCCTTTTATCTGGCTGACTGTACCATTTTTTCAAAATCTGTGAATGCCAATCAAAATATCTTCAAAATTCATGGATAGTCTTCTAGAACCGTTTTCCTGTAATTACGATTAAGGTAGCTGGCCTTGCTGCCCCGTCTCTTTACACCCTATATATAAAAAAATAATTAATATTTACGAGAAAGGCTATTCCATTACTCTTGTGTTCAAGTAATTTTCAGTCGAAGCTAAATACAGTGCAATTTATTAAGTTTCCAGTAGAAGCTGAATATGGTGTTTAGGGCCCTTAAATTATTGCAAGCATATTTATGCAGTACTGCAATGAATGACGTTACAATTTAAATTAAACGTTTTAGTTTTTTATATTTCGTTACATGTCACTACGTTTGTTTAAGCATAGGTTAACCTCGAACATTTTTTTCGTGGTTTTTGTATTAGATCCGGTGTCCATTTATTGGTAGGTCAATGGTTGCTTCAAAGAAATCTAATATAAAGTGCGATTAATTGCGCGCATTTTGAATGGGAAATAATTTTATTTCTTAGTTTAAAATATTCAATTACTTAATAAATAACATATACTACATTTACGGTGTTAAATAATATTACATAATTAATAGTAACAGAAGTAGTTAGGAAGGGAAGGTTTTAGTCTGTAGGCTACTGGGTACATTCCCAGTGGAATCTCATTTCTACATACTAATTATAAAACATTTGTACTGTTTTCACGGTCGATGTACATATATTCAATAGTTTTTGCTAATTTTACTTACTTCAATGTGTGCGTAATTTTCTATGGGCCGTGACCTTTCCAATAATAGAATAT